ATTGCCAATTAACTTCAATCTGTTCCTAAGCGGTTGGCCATATATACGCTAACGCAAGGAGATATAGTTTAAGTGCGAAGTGCTGTGCAATGTAATGTATTTTAAACCAATGGCGGATATTCATAAATAATAAAATGGGCAAAAATGCATTTTTGTTAAAGGTATCTTTAACGATGTTTGAAGCACTTGTTTGCTCGAACCACAAATTTTAAACTGGTGAACACATGCTCCTTGTTCTTCCCAGGTCAGCAACGCAATGCTGCCATCATTCGCTACGGTTGCTCAAATATCATGGAGTTTTGAGTTGTTGAAATGGTTTGGAAGGGAATGATACAGCGTTGCCTTATAAGATGATGTGATGACCGTTGTACATTCATCCTCTAGGACAGTATGCATATTAGCCAGAGGCAGCATATGTTCTAAATAATAAAATTTTAAGAATGTAGATCATGAGAAAACCTTACTGCCCTACATTCTAAAAGCCAATGCTTGTAAACAACGCATACAGTGGTCCTGCCATTAGGAGCATGAAGGGCGCAATAGTCGCTGCCGGTTGGCGTCGCACGACCGTCGGTGTCTGTTTTCAAATAATCATGAATCATCGGCGTCAGACTGTTGGTGACCAGCGTCCTGAATATGTTTCGCGAGAATGCACAGGGACAGTGGTGCTGCACGCTGACGCCATTTATTGCCTCGCTTTTATAGACGACGGTCTGTAGGCGCGTTTTGGAGTTGCTGTTGGATTGTCATTTTAGGCCAAATTAAACAGAAGTCGTAGTCGAGGTTTTCAGAACGACAGGAAACTGTAAAATAGTAGGCAACATGTAAGTGTCTATACGGACAGAGGCAAATTCTGAACAATTTTTAGGTGCGTGTCTGACTATAAATGAACAATAAACACGTTTCCGACATGAATAGCCCTCGTGAGCGTTTCATAGCCAATTTCTGAGAAGTTACCAGCTGTGAGATTGTCGATTACGACCGATTACGCCAGAAACAGCTAACAAAGATGACTGACACAGTAACCTCCGAAACACTAGCTTTATCTAGCCCCCACACTAACCCAGTACGGTAATTTTCTCACGGTGCCTGTATCTAGGAAAACTTGTCGTCAAAAACGTCAGATTTTAATGTCGAGCTTGTCAAAGGCAAAATTTTAGTCAGTTTCAGTGACTGGCATTCTGCCCTGTTACTTTATGACCCCAAGCAATGACAAGACAAACGGATGGGCAGCGGGCACTTACCGGCAGGAAATTAGATCCAGTGGCTTCAGTTGGCATCAGGTGTTTGTCTACGGCTTCTTGGATGGTAGTAGAAAACAAAATTGAAACAAGCAATGATCAGCTAGAAACCACTGAAGAGATCATCACTGATATCCATACGGCTTTATTCCATTGCGATATAATGGACGGAGAAAACCACAGAGTTTCTATGGTATAATATGTATTGAGATATACTTGAGTTCTGTTCAGATTAGTCAAACGGTATAATTTGACGATAAGTAAACCGCGCCATATTTCATTTCACTTTGCTCAGCCATGCTACCGCGGTTCTATTATGACTCATATCCATCCATAATACTGTTTACGAAAGCAGTCAGAACTGCTAGGTCTTCGTCTTGGCTCAAATGATAATTTTACTATCATTATAATGCGATTAAGAGTTCATAATTTTAGCTCACATTCTCCTGAAGAGGAATTCCTTAAAAATACGCATGGTCAAATCGATGTGCAATGTAAACTTGAAGGATCATGTCAGGAAGACCTTCATTAGAAATATATCAGGACTATCCAAAATAGTAGAAAATTTCATTTTCCTTTGACACATAAAGTCTGGAAGGGAAATTTTATAAAACATTCAGAAGGCCGGTTTTTCTATATGGCCAAAAATGCAAATGAACAAAGAGATGTACCGCGTCAGCAAAATGAATGGCTTCGGAATACTCTCATGCATGTACAATAAGGTGTATTTGCAATGATGTAGAAGCTGATGGAAGGTGCACTTCGCTGATTCAGGTACGTTAAAAGAAAACATGAAGATTGCTTAGGTGACGAGACTCAATGACTTCTACAGGAAGTGAAGAAGGGAAAGAATGAAGAGAACACAGTGTGATGTTGAATAAGATTATATAGACTGCAGAATGTCACAGATATGAACTACTTCAGGAGAATTTTGAGGAAATTGACTTGCAGACCCTTGTAAACATTGATAACAGGCAGAAAACATGCTTCGGAAGGAGCCAAAATTAGCGAAGTGAGCAATTATGGAGTTTTTGAATACCAATAATCTTATAAGCCACATTGACTCTAGTCATCGTGCATAGTAGTTCATTGAACTTCTGCGGCTGCATCGATACTTATCCTTATTTCACAGGGATATTGGCGCAAAACTGGGGACCCAGAAAATGAAGCATCTCACACAAGTTTTTAGTTGTTTATCGTCCTTGTGCCTATACCACAAACAGTCCATATTGTTTGTTTATCTGCATACTTACCTGCAATCGAAGTCAGTCGTTGGGCAGGGCCAGCAGATAGGTTGCTTTATTTCAGAATTGTTAATTTACCAACATCCAGAGTATTTTTCACCTTAAAATTCTTTATATGTATACACTTTATTTTGTCGTTCACTTATGTGAAGTGGCAGAGAGTTCAAATGCAAGTTTAACCCCAGAAAATAGTCCCGTAAATAACAATTATTTTTCATTCAGTCGTTGAAGGCACCAAAACAGTATCAAACGCTTAGTTCATGAGCAACTTCTTGGACACTGCTTTCAAGTAGTGCATTGCCTGGGACACAAGAAGATCACAAAAGGCAGAAGTAAACAAGCAGCTATGCATAAAATGTATCAACTTGAGTTTATAACAGCCATTACATTTTACACTTTACAACATGGATCTGTCACAGTCACAGAGGATCAGTTTTGTCCCTTATTCTACGGCATAAATACTTCATAAAACTGTTTATATTTCCCAGCCTCTTTTGGAGTCATTCATTTTACTGAGGCAGGTAAGAAAATGTTATTCGCGATGCTCATGAGAGTTGTGCTGACGTGTTTATTGAGAGAACAGTTCGATTAAGAGGAAAACTGCTGATTTTATTATTTGATTATCGTAAATCATGCAATAAGGTATTTCTGAGGAACAATGTGATTAGGCAAAGTCGTACAAATGCGGAAATTTATGTTGCTACATTATGAGTTAACATGTAATTAGTTTACAAGAATGTAATTGGTCAGTAGTGAACCATTGTGCTACGATGAAGAACGTGCTGAACAGCAGTACGAATCTATATGTCTTTAAGTGTCATACAACTACGTCTTTCACTTATGACTATTATTGTTTATGTTAATCGAAGCGGTGCGATGACTGTATACTTGGTAGAAATCAGGTCCTTAGAAAGATGACCACTGTGAGGCACATCAAGCTTTGAAAAACGGAAGTGTTGGGTGCCTTTAATTGTAAGCGAAACATTCTTTATACGTAGAGTTCACAATTGCGGTGGTTTTCATATTTCGTTAAGATGCAAGAGGACGCAGAGCTTGAGTGGCTTCTTTTGGCAGAGCCATGTGGAAGTCCCCCAAAAGAAAAACTAGGAGATTCCGTTGCATCATTCAACGCGTCTTAGATTTCAGACCACGGAGGTGGCACATCTGGCAAATGATGAATCTCCTTGAGACTGCTACTCCCTACGAACCGAAAGGAATAGCCGGTTGGGGAAAAGAACGAACGAGTTCATACCACGGTGCACTGTATCTGGTCCATCAATCTGAAATAATTAATATTTTCTTATGCACCCTTCTTCACAAGTAATGCCCTGATTTTTTTTTCTCAAAAACCAGGAATCACCAGTGTCCATTGAAGCACTTTGCCAAATAACAAACGCAACTTTCAGCATATTCGCAACTTCGTACTACTTCAAACTTTCGAAGCAAATATGCATCCTTAGAACATTGCTATTTAGTTTTCGATTCTCAGCTTATCAGTAATGAAGTGATTCATTTTTTACACATTCATATGCACCTTAATGCTTGATTACCTGGAATGTAAACAGACATATCATTTGAACTAAAGGCCTGATGGCTGTAAATAAGAAAACGCTTAACCATTCATGCAGAGCCTTCTTTATAATGTATAATTTACAACCAGCTACATTTGCTTTGCACTGACTCCATCATTGATAATGATTATAAATTCTACTAACTAGGTGTTCTGAAAATGCAGGAGGATCGTTTAATCAGGCCATAGTTCATGACATTTGAGAACTGCCAGTGCATCAGTGCCACTCACTGAAGTGAGTTCCTTCTTCTTCTTCCTTGGTTTAGTCACAAAACATCTAATATTACTATCAAGTCAAATCATGTTTATTAGCCAGTGCAATAATTGTTGCTCTCAGCATAAACGCATCCATTACTCTAGCATTAAGCAGGTCCATTAAATGTATATTCAAAGAAGGTTAATGGCACATCAGAATATTATGTACAAGTAATTGGTTTTGCAACTCTGGCTATCTCAAGGCCTTTGCTAAGCAAGGTAGAATGGATCGCCGGAAGAGATCTGTTCGAGCTGGAAAAGCGCTGAACAGGCAATGCCCCCACTTTGGGTGACTGTCATCATCCAGCATTCTATGACCCAGGCGACAGGCAGCTGTAATTGTTTTTTTCACAATGCTGCCACAAATTTCTTCAGCATTGATTTTGCTAATCCTAGATATTAGCATTACGGCTCAACGCAGTAACCGGAGGTCTTTCTCCATTAAGCTTGAGAATATCATTTGGCAGGAGTATATGGTCAGGAAAACAGTGCATTCGAAAACGAAAAGGCGTACTGCTTCATTTGGCGAAATACAGGTAGTCTGATTAGCCTAAATACATAATAACATGCCCTACAACCTTTGCAAACACTGAGATCACGTGGTCAGGCCAGTCCAGTCTTTTGCTTACTTTGATCCCACGATATTTTATGGTTCCGCAAGCTGGAATTATCCCTTCTAAGCTAATACGATGTTCGATTAGGAGAGTAAATTAGATGATCTGACATTCTTCATCCGGCATGTCAGTTTGGCCTTTTCCTGATGGTTAAATCTTAAACCATTGTTCGTGATCCATAGCTCAATGGTTTTCACTGCTTTTTACAGGCTACGCAAGTGGGTATCATTTCGGATGGGCAAAAAGGCACCGTGTTATCAGCATTCCTGATGCAGGAGAGAGGACTAGTGGTGCATAACGAAATTATGTAAAATTATGGAGGAGGGGCGAGAGCCCTGTACATTGTCAGGAGCCCAAGTTGTTTCGCTTCGCTAGTGAATAGTGCCTTCCAACTGTGACGAACTATTGCCAGTCAGAGATATAATTTGCAAACCAGCGGAGCTGGTTGTTCCCTAAGCTTGCCTCTTGTGCAGGCAGCAGAGAAGGTCATCCTCTGGCACGAAGTTGAAAGCCTCTGAGAGGTCTACGAAGATGGCCTTCGCAATGGTACTGCCGCAGTCACGCGCAGAGGCTAGAAAATCCGTACATCAAGCTAGAGCAATGCATAATCTGAAGATCGGTTATTATTTCGCCAAATCTGTTTCTTAAAATCAATATCATCTGGAGCAGTTATTGAAACCAACTGAATAACCCATTTTTGTGCTCAGGCAATGGAAAGTGGTTCGAAGCTCGAGGAAATCTGTTCATTGTAGGCGGGACTTTCAAAACCTCAAAACGGCGTTTCTGATGTGCGCTGATAAGGGAATACAGTTTCGAGCTCTAACGGCTCCGCAAATAATATATAAATTATATGTGACTTTAAAACATTCCTCTATTTTTTAAACATCTTGCAGCAGAGCGTTACTAACATTTAGGATTTGTCAAATTATTGTTAAGTGGCCAAATCTTTATTTTAAAAGTATCTCATATTTTGCAAAGCTGTCGTTCTCTCTGACTTATGATTGATCTACAGAAGATTTATGTTTGTTATCGCCCAGAGACACTTTTCTTCATGACCGAGCAAGAGGAAAGTAGGAAATACGCCAATCCTTCTCATCAAAGTTTTAGGTCTACGTACCGTATGCTCAAATTAGGACAACACACATGGCAGCTGTAACTGTCATGAAGCTATCTTTCTATCCGGCTGCGAAGTGACCTAGAATTACCTTTTTTGGAGGGGATCTTCAGTAGCAAGGCTAAAATGAAGGTTGAAACCTTTACGAGTCCCGTGCACCGAGGAACACCTTTGAGCTAGCAGCTGTTCATGGCTTAAAATTGAAAACGAAGAACATTCACTTTTCGGGATTTGTACCACTTGAGCGCACCTCTTCCTTCTTCCAGATACCTAGGGGGACACTATTTAAGCGATTTAATTATCCGTTGTATTTTGGCACCTGCATCTTACTGGATGCAAAACCTTTCGTTTGGCCAAAATCAGCGATACGATTCGACTGCAATTCCTTAAGGGGTCCCTTTAAGCATTTAGAAATAGGTGATTGGCGCGCTGACGCCATGTATATTTTTAAAGATGAAATGTTTTCATATTTTACAGGCGGAATTGGAAATCACCATTCATGACAGTGATCTAAAAATTCTTTCAGATCATCTTCGCTTATAGGAAAAACCGTTCATGAGCATTACATCAATATCAATCAGATCTTCCATATGGCCTCAAAATTTTCAGAAGTCTTTCTTTCCTCAAGCAACACTGTATATTTATTTGTTTAAACCTGACCATAACGATTCAATGAACGACCATTGATTCCGGTTCACGCTTAAAGTATCGAAGCGTCAGGTGGTGCTCGTAAAACTCATGCCGTTCTATCGTTTCCGTACTGTCGGATCTGACGAACTGCATCCACCCGTCGCAGGCTCTCGTTTCACTCCATCGGCATTGTCTGAACTGAATGAAGTCAGAGAGTACCACTGCATAAACGCCACAATCACGTGCAACGTTCAGTCGTTGTAAACACATTGTGATTGTCTCGTGTGTCACCGTAAGTCATGCCTCAGCGTAAACATCTGTCGACGACAAGTCTGGTGCAAACCATGATTACCCGTATTGCCTTCCACGTTTATGCCGAAAAAAGTCGATTTGCCGATTCCTGGTCCTTCGAGGAATATGCATTGTTGTGCACAATTGGAGTCCAAAACGGAAAAGACAAACTGTACTTACCTTTCAAATATTGTAACTGGTTTGCAGCTGAGAGGAGTAAGCAGGTTAGGCATATTAAATATGAACCGTCACTATTTAGATGACAGTAGTTTACAATAAAATTTGAAAATTCTGCACAAAGTTGCCAAATATTTTTGTAGTGCATCTGAAATTATGACCATGAAGTGATAATGACCATCATGAGAAATTTCACAGAAAGCACAAAAGCAAATATTTGATTTGATTTGGTCAAGCCCTTCTGAAATGGAAGGTAAAATGTGTCACGAATTTACTTTGTCATTTAGAACACCTTTATTTCATCAGAGGTTATAAAAGAACATTTCTCTATCGTATCACACACTGTCAGCAACTGCCGACGTTCATAATCGTGTACCAGGGGAAGCATGTTTGGAATGAATTATATTATAATTAACCTTTATGATAATCACGAAGGATTTAATAGCAGCCATGTCCTGGGAAGAATGGATGACTACAAAGTTGCTCAGAATGACTGAAAGCCATCGTCCGTGTTTATACTAAAATAATGAATGATTAAGTCTTTAGCCAAGTAATCAGCCAAGTCTAAAAAAGTCATGCATTCCATTTCAAATGGGTAAGATGTTATTAATCTGTCTCATGTTTACGACTCAACCAGTCCGTGATTAAGGCGATAATGATAACAACAGTCAGTAAGCAATTCACTGAATTTGTATAGGAATCTTTTACAGTAAGCAAAAATCTGAGATCTGAATCCCTGCAGCTACTACTTCAGCAATGTAGAGAAGGTGTGTATTTCGATAGACACGTACAAGGAAAAATCATTC